TAAGTACGGTGCATGTTCGAGAAAATTTAGGGTTGATGATAAGTCGTCCGCCAAGCCACTGGACCGGACTCCGTCAGCGATGGCGAATCCTGCTCCAAGCAACAAGATGATGTTCCATGGTAACTTCTTGCATTTGTTCCAGTCCATCAGCTTCTCTCCCTTCTGCTTCTTGTTTGGGATTATGAACAAAAGAGTTGCCATCATAACCTAAAATTGTATCAATACAAAACATTATTTATTTTATGGAAACAATTAGAAATCAATATCAAATTTATTTTTGGTTTGAATTAATCTATGTATATCTAATTCTCGATTCTAGAAATTAGCGATTAATCCATACGAGTCAAACATACTTTTTAAATATAAATAAATTTAATATATATAAATTCTAATCCAACTTTATTTAAACTGAAGTGATACTATTTCAGAATTTAATTTAAAAAAATTTTAAATTTAATTTTAATCCAACCCGATTCGATTTTCGACCCTAACTCACCACTACGTGTAAGATTAATAAAACTCACACTGGCAGTTCCATCACCAGCTTTGCCATTGAAGAGGGCACCCCAGCCAGGAACATCATCTGTTATGCTTCTTGTCATCCATAAAGCTATAAGTATCTGCATCATAATCTTTCTAATTAATTATGACTCCAGCATATTAATATATTTCATAACTAATATTTTAATTATAGTAATAATAATAAAATACTATAAATATTAGTAAATTTTCTTGAATTTCTTGAAAAAAGGAGCATAAAATTATTTAAAAAAAAAAAAAAAAAAAACCGACCCCAAATATAGCTAAGATCATCTTCTCAGCAAAAGTCATCGGACCTGTTCACATCAATGTCGAATATGGTGATGAGAAAAGAAACCACCCACAACATAAATTCACGAGTTAAAAAAAGTTATTGATTCGAGTCGGAGTACATGTTCTCATATGTTTCGTGTGGCTGATAATTGAATTAAACCTCGCAGGCCCACCATTGGAATTTGGTGGTGAGAAAAGAAACTGACCCACAGAAGATAATGCCAAACAAATTCATGGGTCTGGCTTATATATATATATATATATATATATATTGAAATAAAGAGTAAGGTAAATTATTTACCTAGCATGGCAAGCTCTCTCTTGAGATGGGTTTTATCCAGATAAGCAGAAAGAACCTGTCCAGATCCTCTTGAACAATACAAAAAACAAAGAATACCCCACAGAGCCATGAAAATCAATAAGGCCAAAGGGAAAGCAAACAAGAACCATGTACTGAAACTGATCGCTTCTTGTTCGGGAAAATAAC